GATATATACACATTACTATTTATAAACAAGTACTATGACTCTGGGTTAAAGAGAACACCAATGTTTATCAAATAACAAGCTGTAGGTAGATCAATATATCTTTTTCTTTTGTTCATTTATTCATTCATCAAACAATTGTGCACTGGTAATGTACCAGCACTAGGCTGGCAGATGGGAATAAAACAGTGAAAAAGAGATAAGGTCTTTGGCCTCCAAGAATCATTATCCTGCTGAAGAATAAAAGTCAGGTCATATTTTAACCATTTTACCTATAAGAATGAAAGTTACAGAAATTATATAGTATCCAAACTTAGATTCTTTTTATTACTGGATTGATCGAGGAATCGATGAGAGGAAACAATTTCAAAAAGGATAACATGACTACTTGTATCTTACTTTGTATCAACCTTACTTTCTAAAAAGGAGAAAGATTTTTTTTTTTTTTTTTTTAAAGCAGCAGTTCTGTAACACATCCTATTTCTCAGCTATACTAATTGCTTTCATTGCATTTCATGTGGGATCCAAACCCTCGGGCGGGAGCGCCGCCGCACTTCCCAAGCGGTGCACTTATCCAGTGCTCCACCGGGCTGGCCCAAAAGGAGAAAGATTTTAAAGGGAAATTTGTGAAACTTTATGAATAATTAGCAATGCAAAGCACTTTAGAAAAATAACGAGTTACGTAAATGTTAAATCAAGTTCTGGTTAAGCCATTTTTGTAATATTTTCCATGGAGTAAATGTTTACTCTATGCCAGGCACTGTTAAATACTTTATATTATCTCATTTAATCCTTTTTATAGTATCTTTTATATTAATTCATACAAAACTCATGGTCATCCAATGAGGAAGGTATTTTTTAACTCCAATTTACAGATAAGAACACTGACACTTAGAGAAGTAACTAGCACAAGGTTACAAGGATGGCAAACAGGGAAGTTGGGCATCTAACTCTGCTTGCTCTGGCTGATTCAAAGTCTATTATCCTCAATCAGCACTTGCTATGCGAGGTACTGCTCTAATGCCTTAATAGGTATTTGTGCTGGGGGACCACAAGAGTATACCCATATTCACTAGGAAGAACTGCAGGACTCAGGATATAGTTGTACTCATGGCTGTTATTTATCCCATAAAAAGATACACAGCAAAATCAGCAGAGGAAAAAGGTGCTTAGGGTGAAGTTTGGAGGAAATGAGGCACAAGTTTCCAAGTGGAGTTGCAAAGGACATGCTTAATTCTTCCAGCATTGAATTGTGACAACACATGAAAAGTGCTGTCTCTACTCATTAGAGACTCAGTATCCAAGTTTTTATTAGGGGCTGATCATGTAGGCACCCTCTGCCTGGCAAATACCCAAATTCCAGACTCCCATATGGAAAGCAGGTGTTCAGCATAAACCACATTGTACAAACACTCCAGGAACGTAGTAAACCACTTTTATCAGTTAAGGAATAATGGGGACATTCCCAAAATCCAAGCTCCCAGATGCCAGCCAACCGCCATCCTTGCAAGGAGGCATTCCTAAGGATAGCAGTTGTCTTAGTCCATGTAGTGGATTGAATAATGTCCACCCAAAACTCACTGAAGCTTGAATTGTGTTCCCCAAGATTTATGTATTACAAACTTGGCCTACTCTGTGACTGTTCATAGGGTGGGAAATCCTCTTATGGTAGTTGAAAGGTAGAGCCTTCCAGAACAGATTGGATTGTAGGACCATGTAGTAGTGAATGGATTAAAAATGGTAGTCAGGGGTGTGGTTCTGAGGGTTTTAAAAGCAGAGGAGAGTCTGTCTCTCTGCTCTCTCTGCTTCCACCATCTTGCAATGTGAGACCCCTGGGTCACTGTCACCACCACCAGATGGACTTTGGACTTCTTAGATCAAAAGCTGTAAGTGAGGGCTGGCTCATGGCTCACTTGGGAGAGTGTGGTACTGATAAACACCAAGGCCACGGGTTTGGATCCTAATATAGGGATGGCTGGTTAGCTTACTTAGGAGAGTGTGGTGCTGACAACACCAAGTCAAGAGTTAAGATCCCCTTACTGGTCATCTTTAAAAAAAAAAAAGAAACTGTAAGTGATAAGTTTCATATTCTTTATAAATCACCCAGTTCCAAATATTTTGTTATAAGCAACAAAAATGGACTAATACAGTCCTTTTTGTGTTGCTATAACAGAATACCACAACCTGGGTAATTTATATAAGAACAGATATTTATTTCTTGCAGTTCTGGAGGTTGGGAAGTCTAAGTTTGAGGGGCTCACATCTGGCGAGGGCCTTCTTGCTGTGCTATCCTGTGGTCGAAGGTGGAAGGACAAAAGAACGCACATGAGAAAGGAAGGGGGCCCAACTCATCCTTTTTATCAGGAATACACCCCCGAGATAACTAACACATTCCTGTGATAACAGCATTAATCTGGCAGAGCCCTCATGACCTAATCACCTCTTAAATTCCCATCTCTTGATATTGTTGCACTGGGGATTGTTTCCGACACATGAACTTTGAGGGACACTTTCAAACCATAGCATCAGTCTCAGGCCTGTTATATTAGCATTTTTCTGCTCATATTCTTTCATTTAATCCTCACAACAAAGAAATTAAAGTTCAGTTAGCTTAGATAATATATCCAAGATTACACTACAAGTTTAGTAGTAAATAGAGAAACTAGAATTCATAAGTAGGCAATCTGATTCTAGACCTCTACTCTTATCCACTGTGCTTGGCTGCCTCGTTTTTGAGGACTTAGTAAAATGAAAGAAAAAAATGTTACAATAGATTCTGCCTGGAGAGAACTGACAAAGGCAAGTAGCAAGAAATTTATGGTTTAAAAAACAGATTGGACTTCTGGTCAAGATGGCAGAATAGATGGTCCCCAGCGTCACTCTCTCCCACAAATCAATGAATTTACAACTATAAAAAAGCAACAATAGCCAAGCTGGGACTGCTAGAGCTCAGGGGAAGAGAAGGAGAGACCTATGGATTGCATGAAGGTGGGAGAAGCCATGATGAGATAAAGAAAAAACTGCTCTGGCCATTTTGAATCCTGGCTGCTTCTAGTCTGGAGCTGCTGAACGCATGGAGCAGGAGATGGCAAAAGCCGCAGCTGTGCCCTTTGGATGAAGTTGCATGGAGGCTGCAGGGGAGAAGAAGGCCTTGGTGGCCCTGAGGCCAGCAATACCACTAATAAGGTTCCTGTGGACACACATAGGAGTGAGGAGCCAGAACAACTGAAAAAAAGGAGCCACTCAGAGGCTGGTGAGTCATCACAAGGGACCGAAGCGCGGCCTGTCCCATGGGAAGTGTTTGGTGCATGCGCGGTAAGGAGACAGGCCACCCGGGGAACACTGGGGCACAGCAAGGACAGCTGATCTGCACCCCAGTCAGTGCAGGACCACTAAGAGGAGACTGGTCAGGAATGTAGAATTGCATGGGGTACAGTTTGATGAAAAGACTCAGGCCCAGATCAGTGTTTCTACACAACCCAGGTACACTGGACTTCACTAGATCTGGAAATATCTATAAAGTCAACCATTAAAACATGAGCTGCATAAAAAGCCTTCCCTAGAGAATCAGAAGCAAAGCAGCAATTTAGCTCAACCACATGGCTCAAGTACTGGTCCCCACAGGAAATCCCCCCATTTTAGAAGTAAGCAAAGGACAACAAATTAGTTCCAGTGCAGAGTTTAAGTGGTGGGAAGAGCAAATAATCCAAAACAGAACTGAAAGAAAAACAAAGTACCCACAACATGCGCGGTAAGGAGACAGGCCACCCGGGGAACACTGGGGCACAGCAAGGACGGCTGATCTGCACCCCAGTCAGTGCAGGACCACTCAGAGGAGACTGGTCAGGAATGTAGAATTGCATGGGGTACAGTTTGATGAAAAGACTCAGGCCCAGATCAGTGTTTCTACACAACCCAGGTACACTGGACTTCACTAGATCTGGAAATATCTATAAAGTCAACCATTAAAACATGAGCTGCATAAAAAGCCTTCCCTAGAGAATCAGAAGCAAAGCAGCAATTTAGCTCAACCACATGGCTCAAGTACTGGTCCCCACAGGAAATCCCCCCATTTTAGAAGTAAGCAAAGGACAACAAATTAGTTCCAGTGCAGAGTTTAAGTGGTGGGAAGAGCAAATAATCCAAAACAGAACTGAAAGAAAAACAAAGTACCCACAACCAGAGACAAAGTTTGATATTAACTAGTAAAGGTCTCATTTCACCAAAGAACACCTATAACACCTAGAAGGATTGAAGTCACCTGGGCTACCAAGCCAAAAAGGGGGAGGGCCAGTGGCCTCAGCAATGCCCCCCAACACCCACAATCAGTTCCAAGGATGGGGGCCTCGGGCTTCAGCCACACCCCCCAACACATATAACCAGCCCAGTGACGACCATCAAGCTGCAACAAGAAGGGCCCCAGGTTCCTGAGCTGGGGTGGTGGGAGGTGAGCCTTTTGAGCCCCCTGACATCTGCACCCAGCGTGGCAATGACCAAGTCACCACTGGAAGCTCCCTCCTCTCCCCTGTGTGAATGAGGGGATGCCACAGGCCTCAATCCCGCCCTTCCTCCTTTCTCCTTCTTGCATCACATTTCATTCCCCTTTCCCCTCTCCCCTTCCCTGCCAGCTGCTCCACAACATCATACAATGTAAAAATAATATTAATAAAAAAAAGATAAAATAAAAAATAAAAAACAGATTGTAAAATGAATAATAAAGTAGCCATTACATAATGGGAACTCAATCAAAATAAGCAATTTTACAAACACTATTTATAGACCTTTAATGTTGAAGAAAAACAAAATTACCAGCACATTAGCTATTTTAATATTTTCAGATGATTGAAGAAAGCTGAAGTTTTAGCCAAAGTAACACAATTGAGGTATTAAGAGATTTACTTTCACCTTTGGAGAGAAAAAAATAAAAGTCAAATAGAGCACAGGTATATGCTATAGCAGAGGGCAGATTATCAGGATTATTTTTGTTTTGTTTTAGTTTTTACCTGATGGAGTGATGTCCTGAAGTATAGTCCAGTTTCCCAAACTTTTGTGTTCGGTAGCCATGCTTCTCCATGATATCCATCCATGTTGTATAATTTGGATCTAGACCCTTAAAATTATTCCAAGATTCTGTTAAGTGAGTGAAGAGGCCACTCCACATGGCTAGAGGGGAGAGGGGGAAGAAATTGGCATTAAGGTAAAGCTTAACAGTCTGTTTTAACTATTAAGACAATTACTCTGAGAAAGTAGTCCACTGGTTTAGAGCTCATGCTCTGGAATAAGACATACCTGCATTAGGTACTTTACCTAACATTTCTGATTTTTAGCTCATTTAATCAGGGAAATAACCCTGCAAGGAGTTACTATTCCAATTTTACAGATGAGTCAACTAAGTCTTAGAGGTTAAGTTGCTTATGGTTAATACAATTGGAATTAAATATGAGCATAAAGTCTGTGTGACTCTGGAGTCTTCTTTCAATCGTAAAAATAATCCCTGGTTAATTTTTCAAATCAGTTAATTGAAGTAGAAATCTTATTTCCCTAATATCCTCAATGATTTTCACTATTCCTTGTCCTTTTGCTGGCTTTTCACACAAAAAAATTAAGTGTAGGATGTCTTTTCTCTCATTTTCTACAACTACGATTGTTTATTTGATAAATCTTCCTTTCCTTTTCTCATTTCTGTGAAAACACATAGTAGGCTGGAATAAGCTTTCTGTTCTCATCTAACAAAATGCTTTCTAAGAGGTGGGATGGGGAATTACCTGGGTTTGAATCACAATAACACCATTACTGAGTGGTCTTTGATAAAGTACTTAACCTTTCTGTACTTTAGTTTTCATCTGCAAAATGGGGATAATAATAGTATCTTCCTTATGAAATATTATCAGGATTATATAAAGCAATACATGTAAGGCACTTAGAATATTGCTAGGCACACAGTAAGAATGCAATAAATGTTAATTTTTACTACTATTATTGCTTATCTTTGCTCAAACTCTTCAAAATATAACTCTTCCAGGAAAAACATCACCTAACATTTTTGAGACCTTAAGAGTTCATCCACCATTTTCTCATTCATTATTTCATTTGATGCTCCGAACAACCCTATGATATACCACAGCATACACAGCATTTTATAGATAAGGAAATTGAGTGATTTGCTTGACATGGTCCACTGAGGATTAGAATCTAGGTCATCACCTTGTCCTAGCCCATGGCTCCTACTTACTCAATACAGAATAAAAATTCACAAGACTGTTTTTTAATATACCTTGTCCATCATCACTGAAATACCATTTATAATATAGTTCAGGTTTCCTTTAATCACTGGTGATTATCTAGTTGATAGTGCTGAAAAGGTGAAAGAACTTATAACACAAATCACAGAGAATATCATCTCAGTAACTTATAGACAAACCAAACTATTGGGTGCTATTTATGAATTCCAAGACAAACAATAATAAACCAGAAGGACAGAGGAAAAGGAAACAACTGCCAGACAATAGATAGACTTTATCAAAATGGAAGTTTTTCTCTATTTCTTAATTATTCATAGCTTAATGTCACTGACATTTTGCCATTAAAGCTATGCCCATTTGTTAAATTATTATAATAAAAGTGAACAATTAGATTTGAGATAGAAGTGAATTGAGACCAAAGAGAAAGAGATCAAGTATATAATCTGAAATCTCATGGAAAAATTCAGGTAACATGAGAAGCTCTAACTACTTTGTTGTATGTTTTAAAGTCCATAGAAATCCTCCTAATACCCTATACCAGTACTGAAAACTTTCCTTGGAAAAGCAGCTCTTCTAGGAAATATGAGTATTTCCTCATTGACTTGGACAGTCAAATGATTTTTAGTCATCAATCAGAAGGAAATGAAAGAGTAACACATGAACTAGACATCATTCTAGATGATAAAAATTCCTACTCTTGAAAAATAAGTTAGAAATTCTAATAACCCCAATACCCAATGCATACTTTAAAACACTCATTTCTTATGTTAAGAAAATTTATTAGGTTCCAGATATGACTTACTATCCTACTTTTGGATATAATCTTTTAAGCTATGAATATGTTTTTAGTGTGCAGCCACTTTCTTCCATTAATATGAAACATGTTCATACCTGCACGTGATGGGCAACAGATTGGGGAGTTCGTGTAGGCATTCAGAAAGGAAGTGCCATGTGCTTTCATGAAGTTGATAAAAGGAAGTTTTACTACCTGACTTCCTGGGTAAAATGTTAACCTTCCATCCTGGAATAAAGAAACTTAATTAACATTGATTGTATTACAAAAGAAGAAAATTGTTCCCTTTAGTTTTTTTTTTTTTTTTTTTTTTTTTTTTTTTTTCCGTGCCCGGCAACGGACCGCAACCCCCAGTGTTGCCCCCGTACCGGACCGGGGACCGGCAACGGGATCGCAACCCTCAGTGTTGCCCCCGTACCGGACTGGGGACCGGCAACGGGATCGCAACCCTCAGCGTTGCTCCCGCGCCT